GGGGGGGGTTACTGTCCATCTTCAACAGAACCGATTCAAATGGGTGGAGATCCATAACAGCTCCCCAAAGTACACGTGCAATTACACTCAAGTTCTGAACGCCTTGAGTTGGAATTCAAACCTGGGCCATATGTTCTGTATTCCATCATGAAATCAACATGTGTTGGGTGATGGACAAATGACGCACGAAGAGGTCACAATGCTAATTATATTACCTTTCTTTAACTTGAAATGAAACCTTTTTTCTTGTAGCTATCGTTTTCGAACTTTTGTTTTCAACTTGAGGAAACCCGATTTTAAAATCCTGTATATTTTTGTTCATCATCAACATCATTTCCCCCCCCCCCCCAAAAAAAAAGCAGAAAAACAACTCTACAAAAGTAAAAACAAAACCCCAATAACAAAAACGACAATCTCTAAAAAAGCAAAACAAAACGGAGCACAAACCTTCTCTCCGGAATCCGCGGGCAGGATGAACACCAAGATGTTGAGAAGGGACAGAGCACAGGTTGGGAAGAGTAGGTTGATGACGAAATACCCCGGAAGTCGCCCAAAAGTGATGATGGAGGTCACCATACTGACTGCCTGGCCGGTGGGCAGCGTAAAGGAGTTGTATGTGTAATCACCCGCGTCAACTTCCCACTCTCCATTGGTGACAAAAAAAACATTGTTTGGTCGGGAATCTGTGCAGTTCAATTCCAACTCGAACCCTCTGTAGCCAATAACGACCAGAACAAAGTTACAGTAGTGTTTGTCGTAAGGGAAGTACGTCATGTCCAGTTTGCAGACAGTCAACATTGGAGCATAGATCCACCATTTGATGATGCCTTCGTTGTTGATCAGAACTGGCGTATGCGTCGATAAATCGAGCAAGGACTGCGGGGAGTCGCTTAAACTGTTCTGCAAGTTCAGGTAGGGTAACCAGATTCTTGAGAAAGGAAAAAAGAAACAAATCGTTACGAACAAAACAAAAGTCATTCCCATTGCAGACAGTAACCACAATTTTAAACATTATGAGTAGATTTATTTTTAAGGCCTCGCACACACTAGCGTAGATCTATAACATTAACCGTTTTTATTTTTTTTTCGACTGCTAGTATGAAAATGA